TGCAACATTTATTGGCAATTTATGCTTCACCTTCACTTCTGTCATGGCATTCTAATGCACTTTTGATTGGTTCTGCTGTTTGTTAACTCAGCAAACTTTGGAGTTCCCGTCGATTCTTCAATGGACCATTCTAGCGTGTTTGACGAGGTAATCTTCACAGAGTTGGGTCGCAACGAGGCGGAAATCTTAGTCAAACAATACAATGCTGAGGGCGAAGCTGCCAAACCACCTCCTGAGAAAAGGTCTCGATTTTCTGACTCATTCAGCGGGGGCAGCAACACTGGTTCTGCGCGCGATCGCTTCAGTTCTGGTAGTACAGGGCGAGACTACGGTGATACAGGTTGGCGAGATAGAGATAGAAGTCCGTCAAATGCTCGTTATAGTGGTCACGATAAGAGAGACGACTGGAGAGGTGATTTTCGACAGGAGAGAGGTCGAGGTCGAGGGTATGGTGATTATCGGTGAGCAATTTTACCTGCGTAAATTCACCTGATTCACGAACTAACTTCTTTCCTATTCCAGTGGCCGAGGGTACGAAGATCGTGGTGATCGCGACCGTTTTGATCGTGGTTAGTTGACTTACACATCTCAGCCTCATTGTTAATATCTTATGTCGATTATTTTTGCTTTCAGATAGTCGTGGGCGTGGTCGCACTGGAGGATTCCGTGGTGCAAGAGGAAGGGGTGGGGGGGGTTATGGGAGTGGCTTTGGGGCCTCTGGTGATGACTTTGGTTACAATCGGGGTGGTTATGGTGGTCAACGTGGTGGCCGAGGTGGGGGGGGCTACGATAATTATTCACATGACGACCGTGGCGCTGGCTTCCGCCGCGGGGGCCCCCCTCGTGGCGGTTCACGCAGTGGCAGTGGTAGTGGCTATCAGCCTAGTGAAGACAAATACAAGTCTGAATATGGTACGCTTTTTAAATTAGACTCGCTACATGCCTCCACTCTCTTCTAATGCTCAAATATTGCTATCGTATAGATTCGAATAGTAGCTACCGTGGTCGTGGTGGTAGTTACAATAGCAGAGGAGGTCGAAACAGTTTTCCAACTTCGGCCCCACCTCAATTTCCTCAGCATTCGAGTAACGATTATTACCAATCTCAGTCACAGCGACGCAATGACAGTCCTGGATATGGGTATTCCGGATATGGAAACAGAGGCGCAACCTCAGCTAGCCAAGGCAATACAGGTCGCAGTGGAGGCTTTCCGGGTTCCTATGAGGGTTCTCAAACTCAGGAAAATCCTCCCAAGTCGACATCTAGCAGACCTCGTCAGTCTCGATTTGATCAATCTGGCTCTGATTCAACTACTAACTCCAGTCGCACCTTTAGTCGGTTTGACCAGCCGACTGCTACAGGGTCACAGCAACCTCCATCTTCCAAATCTGCCGGGCCTGTAAGTCATCTTATGACTTGCTTCTGTTTCA